GCAAAATTTTGTAGCTTTAACATTTTTTTGCAGTATGTTTTTATATTTTTGACCTTCCATAAAGGAATGAGTGATAATTTGAAGGTCATCACAAAGCTAAGATACCAAGACCCAAATCGTAAAGAGAGAGTATCAAACTGGAATTCAAACGGAATCTGAATGATCAGACCCATGAAATGCATTGTCATGGGTGGGTGGTAGGAGTGGGGTTGACAAAGAATCAAAGAAAAAAGTTTTGAGCCATGAATTTTTGTTTGTACTTGAGACTTATCCTATCTGAATTTTTGTAGATTGTATTAGTGTGTAGTAGTATATTTGCATTTTTTTTGTATATTAGTGTGTTTTGGTTTATTAGTGTGTGAGCTTTTTGTTGTATTAGTGCATGTGTGTGTTTTGGTGTGTTAGTGTCCCTATGTGTATATTTTGGTGCATTTATATATTTGTGTGTTGGGGTGTATTATAGTGTGTATGTGTTGATGGATTAGTGTATGTATTCTCAGTGTATTAATGTATGTATTTTGATGTATTGACATATTTGTGTATGTTTATTTTGGCATATTAGTATGTATTGTAGTGTATTAGCGGGTGAGGGGGTGTATTGGTATATTAGTGTGTATGTGTCTATTTTGGTGTATAGGTTTGTATTTTTGATGTGTTAATGTGTGTGTGTTTTGGTGTATTATTGTGCATATGTGTAGTTTGGTGTACTAATATATGTATGTGTTTTTTGTGTATGTTTGTGTGTGTTATGATATATTAGTATGTTTGTGTTGGTGTATTAGTGTGGGGTGTGTATTTTGGAGTATCAATGTGTGTTTGTGTTTCAGATTATTAATGTATTTTAGTGTTTGTTTGTTTCGATATATCAGTGTGTGCATTTTTATCTTTGTATTTGTTCTGGTGTATTAGTGTCTATGGGTGTGTGTGTTGGGTGTATAAGTGTGTGTATGTATTTGTTTATTGTGTATTTGTTTTGGAGTATCAATTTGTTTATTGAGTATTAGGGTGTGTGTGTTTTGATGTATTATTGTTTATATTTTTGTGTATTGTAGTATTTGTGTGTGTGTGTGTGTTTTTCGGTGCGTTAGAGTTTACATTTTTGTTTATTTGTTTGTGTGTGCACATTTTTTTTGTGTTTTGGTGTATTAATTTTTGGTGCATTAGTGTGTTTTTGTGTTAGTTTGTACTTTTTGATGTATTAGTTAAAGGATCAAAATATCGTTTCGGCACATTGTTTCAGTCCAATAAATAAAAGAAACGTTTTGGAAACATAATATAAACAAATAAAAAATTTGGAAATTTATTTTAAAAACATTTCAAAGTATTGGACTAAATATATCTAAACATTTTGAAACATCTCGAAACATTCCGAAACATTGGTGGAAGCATTGATTGTCTTGTTTGATCTCTTTAAATATAGGTGATTTATTGAAAAAAAAGATCAAACTGAAGGATGGAATATGTTATCATCTGTAATTGGAAGGAATGATAGAGACCATTTTTCGTTTGTTAGCTGAAAGTCAATCTATAACTTGTAATGACATTGTTTGGGTTCCAAATAAGTTTAGCATTATTAATCACTTCATTCCAAGTGGAATGGGATGGAATGAATGATTTGGGAGTATGTGGAGTATCAAAATTTTTGTTTCTGGTTTAAGTTTTTTTTTTTTTTTTTTTGCTGGATGAATTTCAAGAATTGGTTGTCATTTTTTTAGTGTGGAACTCTGAAAAAAATTTGTGCAAAAGTGCCTACAGATGTTTGTTACTGCTTCCACTAGAAGTGTTGAGATACCACAGGATATGCTTTTAGAAAAAATTATGCAGTTGTTCATGATTAAATATGTTGTTCTGAATTCAAATATTTGTGAGGGACATGTACACTAAGCTTGGAGCATAATCATGGTTTAAAAAACAACCATCTCATATTTATAAAAGCTACTTACCAGATTTCAATTGTAAATTTGTAATGACAGAGCACCAAAAACACAAAATTTGACCATCCCTGTAACGTATCGCTTTCTTCTTTCTTTCTCCTCTTCACATTCCCCTTTTAGTTTTTTTTTTTTTTGTTTTTTTGTTTTTTTGGTTTTGGTTTTAGTCGTTAAGTGATTAGAGCTAGCTTTAACTGTTAAAAATCCTGGACTAGGACATCCATTTATGTGTCAAATGCTGTTTTTCATAAATCCGACCTCCATCTCCCCGTCCAAAAACGTCCTTATTTTCTCAATTTTAAGTCTTGTTTCATCCATTATATGTTTGATAGTTATTCCACTGTTGCTCTACCAAACGCATCCTTCTGCTGTCATGCACGTTTAAGACTGCAGGAATGATGTTGCACAGTGATCTAAGAGGCATTGATTTGCCATTGGTTCAATATTAACTAGAAGTCATTTCCTGTTGCCTTACCTCGATTACCCTACGGTAAATTGATTGCTTCTTGGTGTTGCGCTGTTTATTGAGCTTGTTTACAAAGAGGAAAGATTGGAGAGGTTTTCGAAGAGAAGGTGATGCCACAGCCAACAGTTTAACCACCAACCATAAATGTTTGTGATATGCCGAGACGAGTTTCACAAAAAAAAGACAGTTTTTGAAGGAGATTGATATCTTTCTTTAGTGACATCTTTTTCCTTGAAATAACATGATCACATTGTTCTTTCTTGTTCTTGAACAATATCAATTTCAAAAGGATCTTCTTTGAAGCTTTTCAAAATTAGTGACATCTACTCAACTTGGGTCACGCCTTTCTTTCTGGTCCCTTGAAATTATTGTTGTTAAAGATAATGGTTCACATTATAGTCTGAAGACTACCGTGTTGATTTATATCCCAGCGAATGAAACTCACCCATGGTAAGAGTGATACCGTCTTTCAAAGACATGTTCTTTCTATGTTAAAACTAACTCTCTCAATTCTGTTTTTTTTTTTCTCTTTAGGTTGTGATTTAAGATTATCCAAAATTAATATTTTGTTGGTTTAGAAGCTCTCTCTCTATTTCCCTTGGCTGCCATTCTGGCCAAAGACATAATTGGCAACTCAGGGTTGGATAACGTGGGTTTCCCAAGGGCATAAGTTGATTTGGATTATTTTATCTTCTGTACCTACGGTTGCTAATAGCTGCAAGCTCAGGTAGTGATGTCAAAAAGCCCCATGAACTCAGGAATTTGCAGGTGTTGTCATAGACTCATAATAAGTACAAATCTTTGATTGTCATCTTCAATTTCTTTCTCCAGTTCCGTGGCAGTCGTGAAGCAAAGAATATGGTTATGTCTAAATGATCACCGCTTATCATAGGTTCTTATCTGTTATTGAGAGGAATGAGTAGGACCAATATTTTTGTTTATGTAAAGTCATTCTATAACTTGAAGTGATATTATTTGGGTTCCAAATAGACTGGTTTATATCATTTAATATCGAGTTTCCTCTCTCTCCCCCTCTCTCCCTCTCATTTTTTTATTTATTCGATCATCTTTGTTTTTTGTAGTTCTTAGGCAATATTAAACCCAAAGAAAATTTTGTTTGAAGCTGTTTATTAATTAGTCACATCTACATAACTGATTTTGTTTGTGTCTCAACTTTCTTTCCGGTTTTGTGGAGTAAATACTTTTCAAGATTAATGTTTCATAGTAGCCTATGAATGCTGCAGAGTGGATTTATGTGAGTGATTCATTTTATTAAACTCAACCTTGGAAAGAATTATTTTTCGAAGTTATGTCGTTTATATGTTTAAATCACCATTGTTTCAACTGTTCTTTTTCTCCTCAGTCCTGTGATTCTACTGTTTATGAAGAAGCATCTATTGCCCCAATTCTGTAAGTCCTCTCTCTCTTTCTCTCAAAATTTTTCCAGTTGATCTTCTCGGTGGTACTTCTGTTTTTATTTTGTTATAATAAAATCTCTTGTTCGATCAATTTTGTTTGGTCAGATTTTTCCTTACACATCTTTTGCACTTGTTTCTTCGACCGAATCTTTCTTTGAAGCCATTCAATTAGTCCCATCTATTCAACTTATGTTGTTGGCTCACATCTTTCTTTCCCATTTCTTGAAGTTCAAGCCTAATGTTGCAATATTAATATGTGTGTACTTTACTTTATCAGACTTGTGCATGGAATTAAAGGTAAAAGTTGCAAGGGTTACATGAATTCATTATTTCATTTCCGTTCTTTCTTTTCTTTTTCTATTGTGAATTAACGTGATCCAAAAACGAATTTTTGTACCAGGTTAGAAGCTTTTGCCAAATGCTGCAACCTGAGGTAGTAAGGTCTCTTTTGTTTTGTTTGAAAAAAAATTCGAAACTTCAAGTACACATTATCTTATAATTTGGTTGTTTTGTTTGGCTGCCTTAGTTACTGACCAGGTGCTTATTTGAAACAAAGATCAAATGAAGGCTGATTCCCATTCATATGTTCTCCTCTGTCATTGGGAGGAATGAGTGGATGTGTTTATTTTGTTTAGTAAAATTCACTCCTCTATGATTTGAAATGATTTTGTCTGCGTTCCAAATAAGCTTAAAATTACTAAGCACTTCATTCCAAATAAATGGCAAGAAGCATTAGTAGGGGTAGTTTGGAAAATGTGGAGGATTTAAATGATGTTTCTGGATTAAGTTTTGTTTGTTTTGGTGGATGAATTTCAAGAATTGAATAACCTTTTTTTAGAGTGGAAGCCATGAAAAAGAAATTTGTGTGTCTAGAGACATTTATTACTGTTGCCAATCAAAGTGTTGAGACAGTAGGGGATATAATTTTAGATAAATTTCTGTTGTTGGTCACGATAGACTGGTGTAGAACTAAATCATGGTTGGAAAAATGACCCACCTTACATTTACATAAGCTACTTACCAGTTTTCAATTGTAATAACTGAGCACACAAAACACAAGAAATCTGGACATGTGTACTGTACCACCTTTTTCCTTATCAAAGGAGAAGTTCGGGAAACCATGAGGCCCCACTGAAACTAGCTGCTTTGTCACCTTATAAAGAAGCATTTTTTTCCATTTGAAAAATGTCCGCTAGCCCTGTGGTGGTGCAGAACAAACTCGATAAGATCAATAAGATTCAAAATCCATTGAATCCTCCCATAGGTAGACTACCGACCTTTATTAGCTAATCTTTTCGATTGATTAAGTTGAGACAAGCAAGCAAACCATGTATGACTTTTAAATGGGGGTTAGACACGAGTCCTTCAAAAGACTACACCTAAGCTGAAACTGGCACCTGAGAAATTCCAACACATTATTTCCTGGCGGATATGATCTTAGATTGAAAAATCAAAATCATGAACTAGCCATGTTGACCTACAACAAAGTGGCAGACTCTGTAGCAAACTTCGGTTGTGATTCTCAGTTTGACCATTGGTTTTCCTCTACAACTGATCTTCCTCAACAAATTAAGGATTGTTTATTGTCTCCACTTTTCCCTGTTTGTAATTTTTTTTGATTTTGGTCTTGGTGGTTAAACGATTAGAGCTTGCTTTGTGTGGTACAAAATTCTAGACTACTTCGCAAAATGCATTCACCTAGAGCTGAACTCTTGGTTCCAGTGTTCAAGATCTTCCCATGGGAAACCCTCTTAAGTCAGCAATAACAGCCAAACAATGCTGAAAAGGCGGGTGGGAGGGACCACTATATCCATAACGTCTCAAGTGAAAGAATTCTGTTCTAGTTTTGCAAAGAGGCATAATTTATAGCCTGTAAGTTCCCCTTAGTTCTCCTAGCGTTATGGCATGATCGTTTAGATATAAATTTTGGTTAGAATTTTTGGATTAACATGTCACTAACGGATTTTTCCATTGGACATTGCCAAAGCATATGTCCATACGCATGTACAATAGAAAATGTTGTTGGCTGTGGTTAATGTATTTTAAACATCCGTTTTGTACAGCATTTTGAAATGATGCCATTTAAGGAAAGTTAATTTACTATCATTGGACTTTTGTCTTCGATGAAAGTAAATCTTCATCAGGTTCTAGATAGAAGTGTTAGTAGTTAGATTTTGCAGTGCTCAGCGTAACAAATCACCTTTTAACAGGTGATTTACTCTGATGTAGGCCGGAAGTTTGACAAAGATATCACTGTTGGCCTTATTAGCAGTGAATTGCTGAACCTTGTGGAGTATAATGTTCACATGGCAAAGCTTCTTGATGTGGGAAGGAATAGTATGTACGATCAACACCTGATTTTAGAAAGTAACAGTAGAAGAACTGACTCAATTAACTGGTCACAAATATTGTGCAGAAGCGGCTAGTGAATTTTCCATATCCCTCATACAATCCTCTGTGATTAACGATTCTAGGGCCATATTGGAACTTCATAATCTTGTTGATGCACTGGCAAAGGTTTATTCTAATTCATATTGTGTGAGCAAGTGCACTTATTCTTACCACTCTGGTCTCTGAATGATTTTAGACATGCAGCTTGCAGCAAGACCTGGTTCTCCCGAGTCATTACAGCAGCTGGTTGAGATTGCCAGGAACCCTACTGCTAGTGCCGCTGCTTTGTCTGGCATAACTATTGGCAAGGAGGATACAAATGCTCAATCTAGAAACGAGAAGGTTAGCAGAATTGCCACTATTCTATCCTTGATTAGGTGCCTTAGTGAGTTCTGTAGATCCTAAAAATTTCAATTTCGGCTGGAATAGGCAACTGGGCTGTCTCTAGCAGGCCGGGAAGACTACAATGTTGCAGATTTGTTTGAACCAGATCCTGCTGGTTTTGAGCAGGTTGCACTTAAAACTTATTCTTCTTGATACCATTCATGATTCTAAAGCTGTAGTATGAATTAGTTTCATATTGGTACATATGAGGGAAATTGAGACTGGACAAGAACAGTGTTGTGTAGCTGACACTAGCTTTAAATTTAATTTGGTGCTGCTCCCTGGCACTACCTCGAAAAATAAGTTGGTTCTACTTGTTCTCTGGTTGATACTTGACACCATGTGTGTGTTATATGTGCTTGGCAGTATAAATTGAAGCAAACCACAAAGGTTTTAGGTAATGCTTTTGGGCTGCTCTGAAGTCCCAGTGTCCTTGTGCCTGATGTCTTCTTAAAGCAATTTGGTTGGAAGTGATGTGTCCAGACTTGCCAATCTGGATACCAGTTTTAGGACTTCCACTTACGTTCCATTATAGGAGAAACTAATAGCTATGAAGTCCTCTCTGTTTGCATATACAGGACCAGTTGTAGATAATTAATTTTGCCATTAAGAAGTGATTAACAGAGAGGTGATAGTATGACTTTGACCGAGAATAGGTCATGCCAATGTGTTGTTGCTAAGTTACAACTCATGCTGCCCCCTATCCTTTCCCCCTTATCTTTCTCTATTTTTTGGCTGTAATGAAATGAAAATTAAGTGGCTGACAACTTGTTTTGAACTTGAAAAAAAAAAACTCCTAGTTTGGTAACCTAAAAGGTAGAACCTTTTCCATTTCATCATTTCCAGAAAGGTTTATCTCAAAGTAGGAAGTTGGCATCTAGTTTAATGAATAAGGTGCACTAGATCATCTCTCTGAAAAAATAATGTGGGTGGATGTGTAGAGAGAGTGAGAGACACTATTTTAGCTCTAATAGGATGTTTAGTAGCACTATAATATTAGAATAAGTGCTACCTACAATTGGTTTTGTAGTTGGCGGTTTGTGAGCTTTTGGATTGATATGAGGAATTGCTTGGTGTTGAAGTTGATCGATGCTGAATGGCAGAAGAGTTTGTGGAATTGTGATACACCAACTAGATAAATATTGGGTGCTAAAATGAAGGCTGAAAGGATAGTGGAAGAGAAAGGACTAGATGAAGACTCAAAGAGGAACAATTGTTAAAGGTTGCAGGATATTCATCTTTATTCCTTAGCATGCACCGACCTTGATTTGTTAGCATTATCTGTACTAGAAAATCTGGATCCCTAAAGTGCAAATATATATTGCCTTAAACAGCACGTACACATATTTTTATAGAATTCTGGACTTCAATTTTCTGTTGGTAGTCTAGGTTAATGGCTTCAATGTTTGGAACTGTAAAACTTGGATTGGTGAGACCCATCTTAGACCTATTGAGGAGAACATATAATATCGTGGTAGATAATTCATCCTCCATAGCATTCTCTCTCAAACTATATATTCTTGTCTGTATTTCTTTTTTCTTTTTCTTTTCTCTTATTTTTTTTTCGGGAAACAGGTTCAGGGAGGATTTAGCAATTTTGTATAGTAATCAACTGGAGAATCCACTAAATCCTTTGCATTTCTAAGTAAAATTTTCATGTCCTTACATCGATTTCTTTTTGTAGGCTTCCATGCTGTTTGCTGATTGTATCGCCGTATCGGATATGTGAACTTCGTGGCACAAATGATGCAGCTTGTGGCCATTAAAGTTGCAGCGGAGTGGACTGCTGAAAGGGGGGGGGGGGGGGATGATATGTCAGATCGCTTTTTCAGCCATCTCATTGTGGCTTTCCTCCTCTGATGTTATGCGTTAATGTGATTTCCAATTTACCTGATAGCGGTCAAAAATTGAGTAAGGAAGAGATTTAAATTCACCTCATACTTTTTGTTTCAGGAACTTTCTGTATCACATTGCCTTTCTTCATAGGTGATTAGTTCCAGCCCTCACCAATTACAGCCACTATCTTTCCTTGCTATTGATATTTATGCGAAACTTGTCTTCTCCATTGTGAAGGTAGATGTTTTTGCCTCAAGATTATGTTATTTGGTTTGCTTGAATTCTTACAATGTATTTCATTGTCTTGACTTTCTTCTTAAAATTTTCCAGTTCTGTCATGCAGACCAAGGACCAAGTAAACTGTCTCTTCTGCACAAGGTTTTAGTCCCAATTGAAAAGTTCTTTAATTTGCTGGTTTGTTGCCTGGAAACTGTCATTTTCCTAGATTGATGACGTACATGGTATTTCTACATGTTTTGGCAGTGGCACTGAAATTTATTCAGAGAGATCCGGAGGAGAAGAAAGCATCTTTTAATCCAAGGCCATATTTCAGATTATTCATCACCCGCTGTTGGACTTGATTTCCCTGGATCATTTGTTTGATGGTGCAAGTTTTCAGGTATGGGGATACGCATTTACGTTGTCCTTGTTTTATTTAGTTGGTAACTAATTGTAACTATGTTTGTTTAGGTTCTGATATCTTTAGCCAATGCATTTCATGTCTTACACAGCCCCTTATCCTGGATTCAGGTCAGTATGATAAAAATACTTCATTGCTATGTGGTGGGATGAGGCATTACATGTTTTTTAATCCACAATTGAATTTTGGTTGGAATAACAATTGACCTTGCCCATAGTTTGCGGCAATGCCGGAGCTGCTGCTTTTCTTTCATGAATTGAAAGATGATTCTGCATGGCTACCTGTGCAAAATTTGCTATTACACATACTTCTTCAAGTCAGTGACCTGTTGGGTTTGATACTGTATCCGATATTGGTTTTCAGATCAGCACACTGGTGAGAATTGTTTTTCCTATTCCTTTTGATAATTGTTGAAGTATAATTATTTAAGTTACATTCTCTCCAACTAATTAAGCTTTTGGAGTAGTTGATTGTTTAAGATGGTATTAGAGCAGGAGTTCTTGTGTTCGAATCTCTTCCCCACCCTGATTATTAATAGAGTTTTCACATGCTAGGTCCAAAATCTAGCTTGCACGTGAAGGGGGCACATTGAAGGATAAATACTTAAATTACACCCTCTAACAGCATAAGTTTTTGGAGTAGATGGTTGTTTAACAATAATAAAACTTGAAGCCTTGGTAAAAACTAGGTTAAGTAAAAACTTACATTTTGTGTAAAGTATTCGAGCATCAAAGAGTCCAATCAGAAACAATTGGTTGCTGTCCATCATTTCTGCAGTATTAAAGATCTGAGGTGGGGAGATTTTTTTTTTTTTTTGGGGGGGAAATGTGTGCTAACATCAGTTGCTTTTTTCTAACAAGTTAGATACACATTGTGCATTACTGACTTGGTAGGTTTTTCTTCAGTTTTGCATGGCTTGAGCTGGTGAGTCACAGAAGTTTCATGCCAAAATTGCTCACAGTAAACCATCAAAAGGGGTGGTGCTGGTTTCAATGTCTGCTGGTAGACTTGTTCCAGTTCAGGGAACCGTTTTTGAGGAATGCTGAGCTAGGGGAGTCGGTATGCATCTTAATCATTGCCTTCATGGTTAGTTGCAGCTGATGGTACCTCGCTTTTCTTTTTCTTTGTGTCTGTATCCAGGTTCATTTTCTGTATAAAGGCACACTGGGTGTTGTTAGTGCTGCTTCATGATTTCCTTTGTGACTATCTTTTCAGCTTCTGTGATGTCATTCCTCCAAGCTGTATACAAATGCGAAATATAATCCTCAGTGTTTTTCCCCGCAATATGAGGCTACCAGATCCATCCACCCCAAACTTAAAGGTGTGTGATTTGTCAATTACTGCCTGTAACTCTCTGCCGGACGCTACTAATCTCAAAAAGAAACAAGTAGCACAAAACCACATTCAAAGTTATTTGTTAGGAAATTCCAATCTTCACCAAATAAAATTTAAAAATACTTTAAAAACATTAAAATATCAAATTATAACTCAAAATGGTGCACTTGCTACGCACGTTTGTACCAACTAGTATAGATGGATATGAGAGGTAAAAAAATTAATGTGAGAAAATTTTTAAAATTTAGGAGTTTTTATTGTTCAAATTTGTTTTAATTAGATGTAATATTACTATTTATCTCATGGAGAAATGAGTGATAATTTGAAGGTCACCACAAAGCTAAGATACCAAACCCAAAATCCTAAACTACAGAGATAGAGACAATCAAATAATTATTCAAAGGGAAATTGCACGATTAGTCCCATGAAATGCATTGTTGTGGGTATGTGGTAGGAGTGGGGTTGACAAAGAATCAAAGAAAAAAGAGTTTTGAGCCACGAGTTTTTGTTTGTACTTGAGACTTATCCGGCCCTAGGCCTAGGCCACTTAGTTGGCCGCCTCAGGCCTCCAATTTTTGCAAAATTTTGGGGCCTCTTGTTAAGAGTTTTAGTTATGGGTACATGTATTTTGGATGGACTGATTTGAGAGGACCCAAATTTTATTGATAGGTCCATTAATATTTAACAATTTACCTAGAAAATTATTCCACTTGTCAGTTATAGTGGACTGCTAAACTTCTGAAACAAGGAAGATAGACGACTAGATCTCTCTATCTCTCATCTGTGAAAAGCAAATCTCCCTACATCACTCTGCCTCTCTCGCACAAATTTATCAACTGCTATCATTATGGGATTCCCTCACAAACCACAACGTCTGTTTAACGCCACTCCCTCATGCACTCTCTCTCTCTCTCTCTCTCTCTTAGTGTGAAGTCTGAATCTGAACAAAGAAAGAACATCAAAACTCTCTATTCTCTAATCTCTTGTAGTTCAAAAACCCATCAATTGATTGATAGTGATCAAGATTCAAGGGTCAGAAATTTTTGGGCTCAAAATATTATAATAAACTGGTTTGTTCAATTGCTCTCTCATTTTTTATTAGAAATTTTATAAAAAAAATTTAAAAGTTTGGTGTGCTTAGAATTTTTAATATGTTGATTTCATATTTTTGATATTATTGTTGATTTAGAATGTCTCCTTTTTTGACAGAAACTTAAATGCTTGAATCTTGATAGTTTATTGTTGAAACTCTAACTTATATAAAACGATTAGATTTTTTTCGAAATACATGGATAATTTTTAGAATATTGTTAACAATATCGATAAAAATTGTTTCAATAAAGAGAATTTTTTTAAAACTTAAATTAATAAAATCTTATTTTCGATCAACTATATCACAAGAAAGATTAAATTGATTAACTATATTATTTATTGAAAAATATCTATTAACAAAATTTGAATATAAAAATTTAATCAATATTTTTACATCTCAAAAAGCTAGAAAAATAGCTTTTAAATGAATATATTTTAATAATTGTTGCCTATTAATAAGGTCCGCTTCATACTCTCGCCTAGGGCCTCCGAATTTGTTGGGTCACCCCTGGACTTATCCTATCTTATTTTTTGTAGATTGTATTAGTGTATGGTAGTATATTTGCACATTTTTGTGCGTTTTTTTTGTGTATTAGTGTGTGTTATGGTTTATTAGTGTGAGGTTTTTGGTGTATTAGTGTGTATGTTTTAATGTATTAGTGTCCCTATGAGTATATTTTGGTGAATTTATGTGTTTTTGGGTGTATTGTACTGTACATGTGTGTGTGTTTTGATGTATTAGTGTATGTGTTTTGATATATTTGCATATTTGTGTATGTTTATTTTGGTGAATTAGTATGTGTTTTAGTGTATTAGCGGGTGAATGGGGGGAGGGGGTATTGTTATGTGTCTGTTTTGGTGTATAGGTCTGTATTTTTGATTTGTTAGTCTGTTTATTTTATTATTGTGTGTGTTTTAATGTATTATTGTGCGTATGTGTAGTTTGTTGTATTAGTACATATGTGTGTTTTTTGTGTATTGGTGTATGTTTCTGTGTGTGTTATGATATATTAGTGTGTTTGTTTGTGTATTAGTGGATGTGTGTGTTTGGGAGTATTAGTGTGTGTGGTTCCGCTTATTAGTATATGTATTTTGTGTATTTGTTTGTTTCGATGTGTTAATGTGTGCATTTTTGCGTGTCTTTGTATTTGTTTTGGTATATTAGAATGTGTATGGTTGTGTATGTTTGGTGTATTAGTGTCTGTATGTTTTTGTTTATTGTGTATTTTTTGGGTGTATTATTATGAGTGTGTTTTGAGTATTAGTTAGTGTGTGTAATTTGTTTTTGTATTTTTGTGTATTGATGTGTGTTTTGTGTTAATTTGTATTTTTTGATGTATTAGTCAAGGTTGAAAATATCTTTTCGGTGCATTGTTTTAGTTACCTAAAAAATAGAAAAGTTTCAAAAACATAATATAAATGAATAAAAAATTTGGGAATTTATTTTAAAAACATTTCAAAGCATTGGTGGAAACATGATTAAACAACTTGAAACATTAGAATTTTAATTCAATCACTGTTTAGTTTTGGTCTTGTTGAAACGAAAACGTTTGGGTCATTTCGAAACAATATTTTGATCCTTGGTAAAAGTATGTGTTTTTGTGTAATAGTTTGTGTTTTTTTTGTGGGTATGTGTTTTATGATTCAGTGTCTTTGTCTTCACTTTTTTTCTTCTGTTTTTTATTAAATTGTTTGGTATTGGCCCTAATGTATTTGTTTATGATATTTCTTTATATGCTTCAATATGACGATTCGGAGTTCTGCCCCACACTTGCATTGATATGTTCACTATTTTGGTAGTTTAATTTTTTTTTTTTTTTCATTATATTCTGTTATAGTCTTCTCTGTGATCTTGAGTTCTTCCATTAATTATGTCGCTAGATTATCTTAGACTTCTTAGTGCATTGAATGAAAACTACCGACGGGATACTAGGATTTAAATTGATCACTTGGTATACAAATATAAAGCATTGTCTCAATGATGTTTAACTGACTTCTCATTGAGCTATATTAGTTTTTGTGCGTGCCTTGGTTGTATCAATTTTGTCATCGCAGATTATGTTGACACTAAATTTGCTACACTTCCCAAAGACATCTTTTTGCAGGTTAGTTCTTTTTATATTTCCATTTTAAATGGTTGCCAATTTTTGTTATATGAATGGCTTATTAATAAGAGTTAATTGGAAAGAAAATCATTTTTTTGAATATGGGTATCATATTTTCTGTTCAGTTCCAACGCAGAACAAATTGATGTAGATTACATTGGGTAGATTATTGAACTTCTCGGTACTTAATTTATATGTCAAGTGATACTGAATGCTTATGTATATTTAGATATAGTTTCTTTGTTTTATGTTTTTTTAGGAGGCGGGGTGAGTGAATGGAATCAAGAATTGAATGAGGTGACCAAGGCGAAGAAGAGGGCAGCCACAAAGGGAAGTCCATGGTTGCGACATTTAAGCAGTGCCCTCGGTATGTGAACATGACTTCATGATAGTTTATTTGTTTATGTTTTTTCAGGAGGTGGTGAATAAATGGAATTAAAAATTGGATGAGGTGACCGAGGTGAAGAGAACAACCACAAAGGGAAGTCCATGCTTGCGACGTTTAAGTGGTGACCTAGGTATGTGAATCTACTTCTCAAGTTCTACAAGAAAAATGTGGGTGTAATAGTGTAGTTTCTCGCAATCTATGTTTGTGTATGAATAAGGATGCAACTTTGTCCAATAGATTGTCCTTGTTTCTAACTAGCGATATTTTATATTAGATAGTACTTTTAGGCACGGTTATTAGCGAGTCTAAATAATAAAACAACTGATTTTTACTGGGCAAAGTTAAAAAAGCACAATAATGGCCCAAATTCATTCTAATTTCATCCCATTTGATCCACTGGTCCAAATTTTGGTGCCAAAAATTTTTTGCCGCCTAAAGTTACAATTTCGCCCGTACTCCCTACCACTCACGCTCTCCCAGATTCTATTGTAATCTCCACTTTCTTCTCTGTCCAAGAAATATCCCTATTATCCCTAAGAGCAATGCTATTGAGACTTAATTTATTGACCTAATTTACTGACGTAATTCACTATGACCTTTGGATTAACTGTGGACTCTATCAAATATTGAAATTTGGTATTTATCCAATGGTTTCAAGGAAGTTACGTCATTATATCAGCAAATTATATTATTGATTTTTAGGTCTAAATAGCATTTTCCAATCTCTAATTTGCATCTGCAGTCGCCCCTCTCTTTCTCTCCCCGTTGCTAAGCAGCTGTCCGCCAGCCACCACTGCCTTAGCCTAACCCAGTCCACCTTATCTTGTTGGCCCTCTCCCATATCTCTCCATCACAGCCGAGCCACCACCGCCTCAACCAAGCCCACCACCATTTCACATGAAGCAGACCGCCAATGCCGTCCAGCTCCACAATAGTCAGACAACTCTCTCTCTCTCTCTCTCTCTCTCTCACTATGGTAAGGATCCAAATCCAAACCCTAATTTAATTAAGGTTGGGTTGATTGAGTGTATATGTTTTGCAAATAAGATGATTTCCCCCTTTTTCTTCTCTAATTTTCGAACTTCTGATTTGGGTTTCCAGTTATTTTTGGCTTTCCTTTTATGATATTTCAGTCTATGGAATTTATGGATATTCAAATCTCAAAACACACATCTACACACACAGCACACAAGACATGTACCAACACCAAATCTCCCAACCCAAAAACCCAGAACACATACTTCTCTGTGTACAACCCACACACCCCGTCACCCGTGCCACCTAGTCACGCATGCAGAATTCTCCCTCTTCCTATATGTATTCACACCACCAGTTCGATGACATGGTCACTTAAACTCATTTTTTATGCATCCAAACTTTTTCCTGTTGGGTTTTTTCTTTTTTTTGTGTATTCGTGAGGTTAGCTATAAAATCGGTGCAAATTTGGGAGTATAGAGTTCATCAAGAGTTTTTAGCATTAGGACAAATGATTAGTGATGGATCAGGCAGTCTATGCAGTCTGGATTTTTTGTTCTCCTTAATTGCCAATAGTACCAAAGGTTTGTGCTTTGAATAGATACCCCTTTGGTGTCAACTTTATTAACTTATTGTCTTTCCCACCACTTTATTGATTTCAATGAATAGGTTCAGGTGCGAGTTATGACGAGAAAAAGAAGATAAAATAAACTATTGCTTTTTTAGTTTCCTGTTGATTGGTCTTTGAACTTGGGTGACCTAATGATTTTGTGGAATTTCAAAATTTTAATCTTTGTTAAGCTCTTGAAAGAATTTTGATTCTCTAATTTTGGTGTAGGCATCGGATTGAAGAGAGCAAGAACAACTAAGAACGGAAGTCATGATATTGAGGCCAATATTATTCCAGTAAGCCCCTCTTTCATTGATGTAGTGCTAGAGTTGCTTGGTAGTATTTATATTGATGTTTAGTGCTATTGAGGTCATTTTTATATTGATGTTTACTATTACTGGAGAAGTTCAATTTTGCATTGGATAGATTACTTTGTGGGTAATGCGGCTAGGATCTTGGAACATTGATATGTTGAACTGGGTAGGTTACTTTATTTTTTCGATGATTGTAGTGGGTTACACGGAGGGATTGATAATAAGAGTCATTGAGAAAGAAAATGACATTTTTGAATGTGGGTATCATACTTTTTGTTTAGTTCCAACTTAGAGAACAAATTGATGTAGATTACATTGGGTAGATTATTGATCTTCTTGGTACTTAATTTGTGTCAAGTGATACTAAATGCCTATGTATATTTGGATATTTTGATATTCACCATGAAAAATTGAGTTCATGATAGTTTCTTTGTTTATGTTTTTTTTAGGAGGTGGTGAATGAATGGAATCAAGAATTGGATGAGGTGACCGAAGCAAAGAAGAGAACACCCACAGGGGAAGTTCATGGTTGCGACGTTTAAGCAGTGCGCTAGGTATGTGAATCCACTTCTGTAGTTCTGCAGGAAGATTGTGGGTGTGATAGTATAGTTTCTCGCAATCCACATTTGTTCATGAGTGCTGATTCAACTTTTTCCAATAGATTCTCATTGTTTGTAACTAGCGATTTTTCATATTAGATAGTTCTTTTAGGCACGGTTATTACCTACTGTTTCAAAAAGTAGTTTCCTAAAATACATCATTGTTGTTCCAGAAAATATACCTAGGGTTAATCCTAATACAATCCAACAGTACTAGATTACGCCCCCCAAAAAACTTGTTACTGCCCATAGAAAAAGTTTATGCCTATCTTTCTTTGACAGGCCCATATCTTTCCTCTATTCTCTCTCTACTTTGTCCTCTCTCATGTCATCTCTCCCTTTTCGCTCCTTGTGCACCATGCTGCTTCTTGATGTCGTTGATAGTGACACCTGCACCCTTACTCCTTTACCCAGGTATCACTTTTCCCTTCTCTCTTTCTCCCTCTTACTCTCTGCTCCTCTCCTTTCCCTTCTTTCTTTCACTCTCCAATCCTAGTCACCATCCCATACCTAAAGGCACACCCCGAGACCACCACAAACTCACACCTGAGGGCTGTTAGAACCAAGGTTACTTAGATCGTGGGTCAATTTAGAACGTGGTACGAATATTCTATGATATGCGGTGCAATGGAAGTAGTTTTAGTTGGTACGCTATTTTGGGTTGCAGTTTGTTATTGGACTATTATTTGGATCATTTTCACTATTATAAGAAATTGTATATATTTATGAATTTATAAACACATGATCTGTAGTATTTGATTTTATTTATGATTTTTTTTACTTATTTTATTTGTATTTGTGATAATTTTTACTACTATTTTAATTAATATGAATACACATTATAGTTAATTAATTTATATTCTATTTTAGTATAGAGTTGGTTCATAGGATGTGTTCGTCGGCGATATTTGACTCTTTTATCTAGCCACATTATTTGCAAAATTGATATAATAGGAGGATATTTTTTACTTTTCACTGGTGAACTTTGTGGATGTTAAGGATTGCTATATCATGTGTTTGTCAACTTATCTCACTCTTCCAAAGCAAAGAACTTATCTCACTCTTCCAAAGCAAAGAAAGAGCGATGGGTGCGAGAAAGAGATAGAAGAGACAAAGAGAAAGAGAGAAACACTAGTTCGATGCACCTTGTTGATTGATTTTGTATGTCCATTCAACTTCTTTTTATTTCGGGTATTAAGAAAATTAGATAGTTTATTTCTTGGTTTCTCCTCCTTCCCCCTTCTTTAAGTTACTCTGTGCGATTTTCTGCTTTTTTGTACTATATGTGATTAAGGTTGTGATTTAGGGGGTTAGGGTTCTGATTAAGGGTACTGTTTGGGTTCGTGCGAGAGCAAATTCTTGCTACATCATAACCCACACCCAAAGGCTGCCATCCACAATGCACACCGATCTCCACCATGAACTACTACAACCCTCTACTACCATCACCATTTGCCACCAACCCACCTCACAACCCCATTTAATTTAGTCTTATGGGGAAATTATTCAATTTTGGGTGTAGGGTTTAATTGAGTATAAATTTAATTTAGAGGTTTTGAAAAGTGTTAATTGACATTGAATTTAGGTTTGATACTGTTGGGGGGGGGGGGGGGGTTGAGAAGCTTATTGGATTTTTGTTTTGGAGTTTAATTGGATTTAAATTGAATTTATGCCTCAGTTTTCTCTAATCTCAATTGTGTATGTGCTAGTTTTAGAGCTTTTCATATATGTTATTTATGGTTTTATTTTATCTTTGTTTTTTATTTATGTGTTGCTTGTTATTGTACTTTGAGATCTAAATTGCTTTTGAATTTGGATTTTGTTGTTTAAATCTACTAGTTGATGTACGCGTTACATGAACTAATTTTTAAAAGATCTGTATTGTTTGTAAGTGTGAATACAAAAAAAAAAAAATGCCCCTTAACACAATTTTAAAATGTGCTATGTAAAATGTAGGTTGTAGTTATAAGATTAAAAGATACATTTGATTTTTATTTCCTTTTTAGACACTTAAATTTTTTATTTATTTTTGATATGACAGCCTCTTAAAGTTTTTTGCCACATTATCTTCTCATGAAACTAGCTTCCAAGGATTTTAAAACGTTGAATATGAAACTTTAGATTGGAATAATAATAAATTCTCTGTTGGAACTGCTTATAAATGGCTAACTAGTTCTGGTGAGGATAATAACCCTTTGAACTTGAACTGGGACTAGATTTGGCACAAGAAAATCTCCCAAAAACTCAAGTTCTTCTTTGGCCTGTTCAAAGTGACAGAATTCTATCTAATCACCTCAAATCAGCCACAAACATGACTAATGATGTGACTTGTGACAGATGTAAAGTCCAATGTGAATCTACTTTGCATATCCTAAGAGACTGTTCCAAAGTACATGCATTTTGGAGAAGTCTTCTTGGGAAACCGTTGGACCTCGAATTCCCTCGACAATGATCTGTAGAATTGGCTCCTTGCAAACCACAAGAAGAAAAGAAAAGAAAAATGAAAAGGAGTAGAATGGCCTGTTGTTTTCACCTCTATCATCTGGCATATTTGGAAAGATAGGAACAAGGAGATTGTTGAAAAACTCAAACTCCCCCTAGTATTACTGCCAAAAATGCTTGGCTTTTGGCTCAAGAAATTAACTTTGCTTTCCTGAAAAAACTTGGATTGTCAAAGATCATTGCTCCAAGAAACTCATTGGTTGGTCTTTCCCTCCTGCTGGATGGATGAAACTGAATGTTGACAGATGCTCCAAATGGAATCTTGGACTTCCAGCAATTGGAGGATTGATGAGGAATGACCAAGTAGTTGGCAATTGGGTTTCTATGGAAGACTTCCTAATTTTTCTAGCACTCAAGCAAAACTTTGGGCGATTTACAAGGGCCTCCAGATTACACATTCTTAGGGAATGAAGAATGTCATTGTGGAAACTGACTCCCTGGACCATAGACTCCTCACTGTAAGATTGGAAGAAACCCACCTGAAGAGAGGGATCATTGCCGAATGCAAGAGGCTTCTCACCTTTCTCAACTTCCCCATCCAACACAGCAAGAGAGAAGCAAACTTTTGCATTGACAACCTTGCAAATTTGGGTGTCAAGCAGAATGATGGAATGGTGCTCCTCAACTTTACACCTTGCTCAATGAGAGAGCTTTTGAGAAACGATAGTGCTAGTGTCTCCTACGTGAGAGGCTATATTTAACATTTTGAACCTTTCCAATGTCCCGAAAATAAAATACCTTACTACTAATCTATTTATAGTAAAATAAGTCTTTCACCTGACTAACACAAAAAAAAAAAAAAAAAAGCACATGTTGGGCCTCTATTTGTTTTAATAAAATCAAAAAAAAAGGGCCACTTAAAGCGTTTGAAGAGACCTTCTAAAGGAAGTCTCATTGCAAAACTAAACGAAAGGTGGGAGTAGGATAAAGCAAGCATCAAAAGCCATAGTTTCGAAAAATATATTCCTCTCGCTTTTTTATTTTTTAAAGTTAATAAAATTAGAAATGAACAAATTATATTTTACCATGTGTCCAAACTAACCATCCTCAACTTCCACCAAGTAACTACCATTAATTTAAACATTTATAAATTTACTTGTATTACTCTATACCTTTTCATAATTGTTTTACCTTAAATAGTTCGGTGAGAGGGATATAAAATAATGAGAAAAAAAAGATGATGGATCATACATACCGTGAATTACACGGGGCGGCCTGCTAGTAACTTACATACTTTAAAGTAGTTTTTTGATGATATGAATTGCAAGTGGTCTATAGTTATGTTTAATAATTTTCATAGTACTAGATTTTTTTTTTCAATTGACCTTGATTTGGAAATCTGTGTCTTTTTTTGTTTTTTTTATCTTAGTCCTTAATCTGAAATGAATTGCTTGCAATTAACTTGCAGTAGACCTTTATTTCTGCGACTGATTGTCTCTATTTCTACGATTATTGTTGTTTGATGTGTTTTAGCTCAAATTTCAATAATATTACTATGCTTTAATTTCTTAGTTCACTGGTCTTTGTTATTTTGATTCGTTGATTATAATGCTTGGAATGCTGTTTGTCAAATAAATTGAAAATTGAAAATTATTAAAAATATATTATGTAACCAAATGGATGACTAATAGCTATTGTAATCTAATTTATTGACTTAATTTGTTTACCTAATTCATTATGATATTTGGATTGACTGTGGGTTCCATCAAATATTGGAACTTAGTGTTAATCCAATGGTTCCATTGAAAGCACATCATTATGTCAGCAAATTAGGTTAGATTTTTATGTTCAAATAGGATTATCTGTAGTAAATATAGAGTAACCATTGAAGTTATCATGCAATATATTTAAATTAGTTATTTTTCGTGCCTGAGTAATAAAAAAAAATAATCAACCGCAAACAAATTTGTATTCACACTCAAAATCAATTAACAAAGATAAAAAAAAGAAATGAATTTAAGTACCGATTGTAGTAGGGTGACCGGTGGTAGTGGTGGGTGACAATGACCATTACTGATGGTGGCAGTCATGTATGGCAACGGTGATGGTTGTGGTGGGGCAGTAGGGGTGGTGGTGGTGGTAGGGGTGATGGTGGGCAACAATGGTTCGAGTGGGTGTTGACGATGAGTGACGGTGGTAGTGAGATGATGGTGGTAATGATAATAAATATAAGAATAAGATGACGATGGCGATGAGTGGTGACATTGGACGAATGTGGTAGTAATCGGTAATGGATGACAATAGTGGTGATAGAGGTGGCGGTGGCAGGCGGCCCTGGGGGGTTGGGTCAGTAGCGGAGGAGGTGAAGGTAGTGGTAGGGCAGTCGCGGTGGTAGGGTGGTGACAGTGGCGATGGCAGTGATGGTGGTAGTGGTGATGGTCGTGGGGGTGATGGTGGGGCGGTGAGGATGATTGTGGTAGGGGGTAGTGGTGGGACAATGATGGTGGTGGTAGGGTGGCGACAACAGTGGTGGTGATTGTGATGGTAATAGTGGGGATGATGATAATGGTGGAGGCGGTGGGGGATGGTGACAGTAATAGTGGGGCAGTGGTAGTGGAGGTGATGGTGGTAGGGTGACGACAACAGTAGTGGTGGTGGGGGGGGGGGGGGCGACAATGATGACAGCGACGACAATAGTGTTGGTGATTGTTATAGTAGAGGTGGTGACGGTGACGACGATAGTGGTGGTGGTTGTTATGGTAGAGGTGGCAGCGCCGGCGATGGCAGTGGCAGTGGTGATGGTGGTAGTGGTTGGGGAATAGAGGTGACGATGGTAGTTGTGATCGTGGGGTGGCAGTGATGGTGGTAGTGGTGATGGTGGTGGGGCGATAGGGGGGTGGTGGTGGTAGTAGGGCGATTTCAAACGTTACTTTTTAAAAAATAAATATATTTATGAAAAGTTATAAATTTTAAAAATATTTTTAAAAAATTGTCTAAAATACACTCTTAAGGACCTATTTTTCCTATTAAATTTGAGGTATTAATATTAGCCGTCAGATTAACTTTAAAATAAAATTTCGTAACGAGCTCAATCGTGAAAAACAAAAGTTATTTATTTATCTTTTAAGATTTGAATTGAATTATAATTTATTATATAGATATAAAACGCAAAAAAAAGTTCAATTACTCTCTTTTTTTTTTTTACTAGTATTGAATTTCGGCCTTTGTGTATTTAATAAGAGCAATGTTATGTTGATCAAGTTGTTGAATTAGTAGGGTTCATTAACTCCACCAAATATTCAATACATGGAATTTTGACATATCACTTGAGATACGAGATTTGATAAAAAAATTTGTGCAGAATAGTTTTATCCATTTAATAAATATTCATGTATTGAATATTATATAATTTATATTCCAAATGACTGTAAAAAAATTTAAACATTGTAGTTAGAGCCAACATATGTAATTAAACTCTGTAATTGCATAAATTGAAACTTGGATGACCAAATAAAAATTGCTTATAAAAGGTAAAATATATTTTTGTGCCCAAACTATGAGCTTTGTGCCAATTTGGTTTTCAATTTTTTAGTTGTCTATTTAGTCTCTCAATTTATGTTATATCGTATTGTAAATAAGCATAGCAAAAGAGTAATTACTCAAGTTCTAACATCCTTTGTTTTCATGTAATCTTAAAGAGTACATTGCCAAAATAAGCACATATCCTTCTAGGGCTATTGTTAAACAACAAACCCTATAGGGCTTTTGATAACAGCATCAAAACTTAACAGATATTGCCACAACTTGTAGATCATAGAAAATGACGAGAAATTGGTTTGACGGTATAGAGAGTCAAACGAGAAAACGTTGTAGATCCATCAAATTACGTCCCATAGGTCTTCCCAATATTTCCAATACGTTGGGAACTGCATTAATGATCCTCCGATAGAAATACTGATATATATGATTAAGAATGTACCTCGATGCAATTATAGGCATTAAGGCCCATAGAATGAAGATAAGCCAACAAAACCAGTGTGGGAGAAAGATTGACAGCAGTGAAATTGAAGATAGAGCTCCAAATATAGGGCTAAGACAGCCAAATAACTGAGAGTAGTTCAGATGATGAGGTTGGTCTATCACTTTAGCTGCTAATGTTGAACAGTAGATAGACAATGTTATGATAAAAGTCTTCATGGTTGTGGGATGTGTTTCTAAAGGAGACACATCTTTGTTCTGATACTTCAGTTGGAGAAGGCCAATCAGTGATGTGATGAAGAAGGCATACACAGCATGTTCTGAGACTTCTGTACTAAACCTTCTGATACCACGGCTATCATCAACGATCTCTAAGGCTGCCCTCATTTTCTCCTATTTGATGGTTTTTTTTTTTATTTGAAACTAATTTATAGCCTAGGTTTGATACCATCAATTGATATCAATCTGTAATGTTCAGGAGTCACGATAATTAGGTACGCATCAACACCTCTCTCCCTCTCTTGTTTTTCGATCTTGAATATGACAAAAAATGATGGAGTTGTCTACGGTAGGAAAAAAAAAATCGGTATCATACCTTTATTTATCACATTTGTGAATAGTTTTATTATCACTGTTGTAGATGTTTTGTGTAATAATCAACCACAAAAGTAGTAATTCTTTTTTATACTGAAAAAAAGTGATAAAAAAACTATCACGGTAGTGATAAAAATACACATAATAGAGGGAAAAACATTTGCAAAAATGATAAATCATCCATAAATGTGATAAATTTTTTGGTTGCAAAATGACTTGTAGAAGTTATAAAAATACTTATTAAAGTAGTACATTTTAGAGGTATGATATTGAATTTTTTTTTTATTGATACTGTAGTCTAATGCTTCGTTTGGTAGAAAGGATGGAAAGAAAGAGGGATACACTTTTTATCCTTCAAGAAAAAAAGTAAGAATGAATGATACACTTTCTTTCCTTTGTGTTTGTGTTTGGTAGGATGAATGAAAAATAAAAAATAATTAAATTTTTTTCTTTTTTGCTTGTTAAGATGGAAAATATATTTTTTCATCTTTAATTTAAAAAAAATTTCATCCATTTTTTTTTTCTAATTTTGGAGGAATTAATTTTAGTGAGTTAGAAGAAAAACTCATACATCAATTTTTTTATCATTTTTATTTTCATTTTTTATTAAATATAATATTTTATCTATTCTTTTAATTTTTCATCTTTTAATTTTTTTATCGTATTAAACGGAACATAAGTCCAAAAAAGATAGGACCATGTTAAATAGAGTCGCGAAATTGTGCGTCATTGTCTCTCTCATCAACAAGAGAAGAATGGATCAAGAAATTTCTCCCTCGGACAGATAGAGAAAAGAAAGACAGTACCTAGGAGACAACTTTTAAATTTTTTATAAAAAAGTACATGTGAACGAAAGTATTTGGGCCTCATATTTATTTATTAATCATGTTTGAAGACACGATAAAATATAAAATTTGAGCGCCTAAAAAATTGATCTCATTATATTAAATTTTTTTAACATATGTATATTATTGTATATGAATAATGTTTAAAATAAAAATTATATTAACTACAAATTAATCAAATATTAACTGATTAAACATATGATAGAAAGAGTGATTTGATATTTTTAGAAAAAAATATATAAATGATTAAACATATAATAAAAATTAGTGATGTGATATTTTTAAGGAAAAAAATATGTAGAAAATAAAAATTTAAATTACTATGTGTTTTATTTTATAGATCGAAACCTACAATTCACGATGCATAGTTTCTAACTAGAAAAGAAAGGCAAGAAGGCACCGCACCTAACCAGCCATCACCAAAAAAGGAGGACTACGACTTTGCGCACAGGCGCACCTATACGCACTGAAGGCTGACCCTCAGATATTCACCTTATTTTAACTTAGGCCCAATACAAGTCTGATCCTAGGAAAGCTGTCCTAGAAGCGTCAAGAAGGCCCTTTCTTTTGGACCATGAATTCGGGATGAAGATAGTCAATTTGACAATCTCATCTAAGACTTCAAGCCTTCGTCCCGAAAGAGAGAGATTGACCATCTGTCTTTTGAGTCTTCCGTAGGGGATTAATGCTAGGGTTAATTCTACTTTGCACCCTACAAGATACTAAAATTTTCAATTTACACCTTGAAAGTAAAACTTTTTCACCTTACACCCTCAATCGTGTGAAATTGTTTCAATGTAGTTCACCAGATGTTCGTTGATATCTCCATCTATTTTAAATTCACGTGACAAGAACATGCAATCTTGAGGGGTTAATATGTAAAATGCTAAACAAGTTTTGGCGGGCAAATGGTATACCTGAAAGAGACGACTGTTGGGAGAGGTATTTGTTTGAGGAGATCTTCGACCTCAGAAATTTGGGAAAAGGACATGGAGTCTATGCACTGTTTGCTTTCTCCATGGAAAACACTATGAGGAGGGTGTGTGTGTAAGAGAGAGATAGAGTTATAAACTTAGAATGCTTAAAAGCATACACTATAATAAAGTAATCTTACCACTCAAACCGAGTTCAGAAACGTCCAAGACTTGGCAGCTCTTCTTTTCTCTCTCCTCGCTGTAGGTTTGAGGTTCTGAGTCTGAGAAATAATGAAATTTTCCCCAATCAGAAATCTTAAAGGCACAGGAGAGGATCAAAATGACACGCATGACCTCACTCTAGCAAAACTCTAAAAAGATCTTGCCAAAGAAATATAAAATGAAATTAATGGGGATCATATTAGAGTTGGATAAATATTATAGATTTATCTTCATCGGCATATAAACGCCATGCCATCTCACCCTTCGGCCCATAAAAAAAAGAGAGAGAAAAAAAAAACAGTTTCATAATTTTTGAAACTGTCCCACCAGCTCCACAAGAAAAATTGCAGGATCTCCCACCAGCTTTTGAGACTAAAACTCTGCTCCACAAGTTTCTCAAAAAATTACAGATCTTCTCCCGAGTTCTAAAAAATTGCAGAATCATCCCAGAAGTTGCAGAATTATACACCAGACGTTCACTTTAGATATAGAAGTTGCAGAATCTCTTTCTCATCTCCTTAATTCTTCCATTTCTCATCACCCTTCAACTTCTATTTCTCATCTCCTTCTTCTTCCCAATCTACATCAGAAATCTTCACATACTAACACACGCGCTTTGTGAAGAGAGTTTTTTTTTTTTGATCCAAACTTTGTGAAGAGAGTTTAAATAAGTAAAGACTAAACAGAAAACAGAAAATACTCTGAAAAACAATTATGCAAATCATGTAGCGGGTAAATAATTACAAACCTCGTCCATAGTCAAGCAATTAGTCCTCTATCCTTTGGATAATCAGATTAGCTGTTGCATTTGCCAATAAGAATGCTCCATGAAAGTTTTCTTGGTAGCACATAGATTCCAGTTCTCTAGCCATTTCCAATAAAATCTCACCCAATAAAATTACATATTTATAAATTAAAAAAGGAGGAGATTTTTTTATGGTAAAAAATTCATTCATTTCTGTTACTTCACAAGAAGAAAAGAAAGAAAACAGGAGGTCTGTTGAATTTCACCAAAGATTTGTAGTACGAGTGGGCAGCAACCTTGCTGATTTCTAAATTGGTTGCCTCAGGATAGTACTCATCATCCAACCATTTGTGCAGAGTAACTCTGATTCCTGCAGCAATGCTGGAAAAAATTGAGCTTCTGCATATATTAATTATTGGGGAATTTAGCACAATTTTATAAATTCAAATTACCAAACCAAATTCAAAAAACACTAAACAGAAAGGATACAAACACACACGTATGGTAAAATAGCATGCAATTAGACCAAAATTAAAATAGAAAAATATCAAATTAGAAAGAGCTTCGAGAGATGTGTGATCACTATCCTGAGCCTTCCCAAATGAGGGTATTGACAGATATCAGCAATTCCAAGATCCAACCAGACTTTCGCAGCAATACCTCTTCAATAGTCACGCCCCCCTGGAAGAAAAAGGTGAACCTGACTTAATTCGTATGTTGCCCAAACCACAAAATACTTGAAAAAATATAATTGTACACGCGCAAAAAACAAGTGGCAGAAGGTTTTGGTGGCCAGAAAATATAATAGCAAAAGGTTTAACAAATAGAATTTTTTTAAACCCTGCAAAATCCAGCCCCAGCCTGAAGATCAAAACCTTCTCCAGTCTCTTCCCACTTGTGGAACCAAGAAGAAGAGCAGACATAAGGTGCCACAAAGACACTCTCCATGGCTATTCTTGCTTCTGCAAGATAATCTGGGAAATTCCACTCCATTGATTCACATAAAGCTTGGTAGTGCCTCAGATGTCCGTCAAAGATCACGAGCCATATCCAGAGAAAAAAACCATTTTCTTCGATTTCATCCCTTGACTCACTAGACAGCAAGGCTGGACCTCCCTACTCACCGGCTTGACTGCATTGACTTAATGGACTGCCCCTTTTTGGTTGCAGAAATTTAGGCAAAGAACTTTTCTGAGTTGTCACATCAAACAAAAGCAAAAGTGTATTTTAAAAGGCAGAAAATCGAATATTACAAGCTTCCGCCTCTTTTCATTCTACTCATATTTTCTGTTTCTCTGTCTTTCCTCGGCTTCTCCATCACCAAAAGTTGCAACTCCTTTACTGGTTGCAGAATAGGCTAAGAGTTCCTTGGATGTCTTCAGAAACTCCATGACATGACTCTGACTCATACTACTCCTCCCCATGTGTGGAAGCCCAACCATTCTCTCTGTCCACTGTTCTTCTTCGATCCCTTTATCTCACTCACCAAGTCCTTTATACTCATCTCTTCCACTTAAAATTTCAGACCAAAAGGTCTCGCATGATCAAAGAGTCGCTGCTTTGTATCCTCAAACTTCCATCTCACAAAATTGGAATCGTTTTCTGATTTTATTGATGTTAATCTTAATATCTTTTGCTTCTGCACTATGGCCTCAATCATGGGAGACCATTGAACCCCCTCTCGCATGTCAAAGTCTACTATGTTTATCACCTCTGCGTCTTGTGGAATAGCTTCAAGGATAGCAGAGTTGGCTGCAAAGTGAGCAAACCTCCCATATGGGAAGATCTGGTAGATAGGCCTTGAAAGCTGCTTCAAAATTCTTAATTGACTCCTGTTTCAGGTAGTCAACTTGATTTTCTGTGGATTGGAAGAAGTTGTATGTGACACGTTCAAGCGCTTCCCCAATCGGATTAGCTTTCTTCTTTATGCTTCTCACGAGCACCTCAGTTGAGCTTCCCATGCCCCATCTCCAATACTTGAAGAGTCTGGTAGCAGTTTTTTCTGTGGATAGCAGAGAATTAAGTCTGGTGGACAAAAATAGTTATACAGAATATAGGTCCACTTACACCTTGGTCGAACACAAATTCAAGGCTGATGTTAGCTATATATTTAGAGACATCACTGAATGATTAATTAAGAAGTAGCAGTTAAGATGAAATAAACCTAGAATTTGGTTGATAAAGAATCCATTACATCGTCAGTCACCTCAGTACGATGCCGACGAACGGCTACTCCAATGCTTATGGCCACCGGATCAGCGAAGTTATATACATTGTGAGGCCATATGGCGCCTCAGCAGACAGTTTACGATCCCTCTCACACTTCACGCACAGAAATTCATCAAATCTCAAGTCTCAACAACAAAATCTATGAAATTGAGGCAATAAAGCCGGAAGAGAGGTGATCGGCCGGAGAGAACCGAGTACGGCACAGAGTCTTGTTCTGGGGAGAGGAGAGGGGATGGAGACGAGACTGATTTGGGGAAAAATGAACTGAAACTTGGGCTTTTATTCAGGTAAACTATCACTTCTCCGTAGGTGCAGAGGTGTATCGAACACGTCTCGATAATTCTCGAATCGAATAAAAGAGATCATAAAATAATATTTGAAGGTATCTCAAATAAATATAGATAATCAATTCACGGATAGGGTAATAAGATGGGTCTGTCAAAGAGGAAAAATCTGTACTTGATCTCTCTCGAATTTTCTTCAGCAAATTCTGGGCGTCTTGAACAACCCCACTGGACAATGCATAGAAGCACTAAATAGTACTGAAAAGTTGCAATGGGCTAGACTTGAAGAGTTACCATGAAACACACTGATTGAGTTCAACAGAAAACTTGCAATGGTTTGCATCCAAGAGTTGGTGACACTTGAGCTTTTTGAAAAGCCATTTTATCCAAACCATTACCATTTAAGCATACATCATTAGAAATAATAAATAATAACACATAAGCACGGGCGAATCTAGGATTTATGTGCAGCGGGGGGAAATTATAACTAATTTTTAAAATTAAAATTATAACATTAAAGATATATAATTTATCAAAAATATGGTGATACTGAAAAACTAATCTATATAATAAAATACAATATAATTCAAATCTAAAAAAATAAACAAAATGACTTTTACTATTCGTGGTTGAAATCGTTTTAAATTTTATTTTAAAATTAATCAAACGGCTAATATTAACACTTTAAATTTAATAAAAAAAAAATAAGTCTCTAAATGTGTGTTTGAAATGACTTTTAAAAATACTTGTAAAAATTATTTCTCATAAATTTTTAAAAAATAAATAATATTTCAAACTACCTCACCACTACCTCTAATACTACAACTCCCACCGCCACAATCACTATTGCCACCTTACCATATCCACCACCGCTAACACCACATTTTAAAAATAATTTTAAAAATTATTCTTTATAAGTACTTTAAAAAAAAATAGTATTTCAAACTATCCCACCACTATCTCTAATATCACAACCCCCACTGCTCCACCACCACCGCCACAATCACTATTGCCACCTTACCATATCCACCACCACCAATGCCACATTTTAAAAATACTTCTAGAAATTATTCTTCATAAGTATTTTGAAAAAAAATAGTTTTTCAAACCACCCCACCACTATCTCTAATACCAAAACCCCCACCGCTCCACCATCGCCACCATAATCACTATTGCCACCTTACCATATCCACCACTACCAACGCTAGAATCACTATTGCCACCCTACCATATCCACCACCACCAAGCCATCACTCTTGGGTCTCTATTCCTCTCTGTCCGTGGGTCTCTTTGTGTGGCTTTCTTGTTTTCCTACAGTCGGCGCCATGTCCGAACCACCAGGTTCGTAGAAGCCGAGTTTACTAGGTGAGGAATGGGTTATGGGTCTGACAGAATTGCAGTGTTGCAACTGAATAAGCCTTTGAACGACGTATGGGTCTGGCAGAATTGCAATGTTGCAAGCCAAACAATGGATTAGACTGAATCTAAACACTCCCATTTTGAATCCTACCACTCCCACCTATGACTGGATAATAGCCAAATAAAGGAAACTCTTTCTTTCATCCTCATTTTCTATTTATCCCATTTTCAATCATACCAAACAAGCGGTGAGAGTACTAAAACGAACCTTTCTGAGTTGGAAGCATGACGAAGATGACAATCGCCAACAATTCTTCTCTGTTTCCTTCTTCTGAATCATCCAGCTTTGTCCTGAGACTTCTTTATTAAACCTTTGGGCTATCATCAACAATCTCTTAGGCCGGCCCTCATTTTCTCCAATTTGCAATAACAATGTTCACATGTGCATAACTTCTTTTTTTTCGTCAATATATGTAAAAGCTTTGATAATACCAAAGTATCAATTAGGTCTCAATTGATCGTGCCGCCGTCTCGGAGGGATTTCAACAAACAAGAAATTTTCTAGCAATTGAAAATGGAACAAGTCACGACACGAAGGGTGTTTAACGTACACGCCGCGCAGGCTATTAAATAAATGTCACGTAATCTAAATAAATTCAAAAATTATAATTTAAATATTTATTATCTTTTAGATGAATGGATCTCATTGAAAAAGTTAATGAGACATACTCATCTAAGGGATGCTATACATTTGAATTGTAGACACCAAAAAATTATTTGGGTGTGTTAGAATTTGACCCAAATTCTTTAATTGTCATAAAGGAGAAATTTGTTAGGTAATCAATGTGGGAATCTTCAATGAAATAAGAAACATATTTGAAGAGTTTTAATATACCATAAATATGTATATTAGACATGTGATTAGAAATATAAAGATCATAAGTTTCGGTTATAATATTTTTTTTCTTATAAATAAGGTTAAGTATTATATAATAAGTTATGAAATGACCAATTTTTCAATAAATAATACATCGTTTTTTATTCACGGATGTGGGTACGGTGTACCAAAATGGATACGCTATATCGAACCACTAGCGATATTCCGTGACTAAAGTTACTGTACACTGAATTATTACACTGTGATACATTGGAATGGGTGTTGGAGTGTGTATGTATGTGTAGTTGTGTGTTGTGAAGTGTGAAGTGTGTGTGTTGAGTTTTTGAAATTTGGAAGGGAAACTATGTGTTGGGTGTGTGAAATTTGGGGAAAAAAATATACCCCTTATAAGTTCAAACACTTATCTGATTTATTATATAGATGTTATATTTTTATCATGCTTTTATTATTTTTCCTATTTTTGAATTCTTCTAACAAGTGTTATTAATGTTAATTATCTGTTATGCAAAATTAGCATTGTGTAGCATTAAAAAAATAAGAAAAAAAATTGAATAGGTCTCGAGAGGAAGGGTGTTTAATGTACTCGTCAAGAAGGCAATTAAAAAAATAGAAAAAAAATTCTATAGCAATAAAAAAATATCCAAGAATTATATTTTGGTTAGTCTAATAACCAAGACAACAATCCAAACTTTATTTATTGGACTGAAAAATCAAGAACAAGCGAACATTTGGAGGCAAGCAATTCACGACAGGGTATATTCGAAAATATAATTAAAAATAGATTCTTGAGAGGTGTGAACATCTAGGGTTTGAGGTCTACAAAATTTGTTAGATCTGTAATGAGAAACTGATTATTTTTCGATTAATTAGATTACTATACACAGGGGTTTTGGAAAAACTAAGGAGGCCATGGCCCCCCTTGCCCTCAACGTGGTTCCGCCGCTGCGAAGCGTGGGAGGCTTGCGCAGAGAGCATAGCATAGGGAGCAAAAGGGCATAGAAACTTGATATGCTCGATTGGATTCGTCCTCCTAAACCTATAAGTAGTTCATATGGAGTTTACATAGAATTATGAGATAGAGAGCCCATAATCATTAACTTGTTCCATATTTTTGTGAATAAGAGTAGTCAAAAAATAGGTGAGAGTGAGTCTCATAGCCAACCAACTCCCACATTAAGATTGAATGATTGTATCCTACTCAATCCCCCTTTAACAACCATCCACATGATAAAAACTCATGTTATGTTTTCAAAATCGGACCAATGGGTGACAACCACACTAACGGATCAAAATCCGACAGTATTCCAATCCCCATACCCATGTCAATTACCCACCAATTGAAACTTCTCCCCCCTTTTCTTTTTCTTTCTTCTTTCTTCTCCAACCACGACAACCAACAGATCAATTTGTATGTGTGTACACATTTATAAACTCTCTCTCTCTCGGGTAGATTTCTTTTGAGGGCGTTTCACTAGTGGGAGGGGTTTTGTTTGGGAACTAACTGTTCGAGGGTGGTGATGGATTTCACTTGTAGAGGGAGTGAGTCCAGTTTTTTATGCTTGGGGATGAGTTTCACCAAAGGAGGAAGAGAATTCAACTGCTTCGATTCGGGGGATGGGGTTTACTGAAGGAGGCATGGGTTGGGTCTTCTCACTAGAGGAAAGAGGTTCCATGGGTACTTGTCGAGCTTGTCTGATTACTCCAACCCATGTCGATTACTCCAACCCCCTTCTTGCTCCGGCAGTCTTCTACCCTATACCCAACTCTGGTAGCACCACAAAACCCACCTCCATCAGCCTCTCCCATACCAGCACAAGCAAACTCCCAAGCCCCATTTCATAGAAACCATTGAATCGATCCAGTCAACCATGGCACAGCAACCATTGGATCTAGTCGTGTGTGTGTGTGTGTATACGAATCAGAGGAGGGAATGAGTTGGGTTTCACCAAAAGAGAGGAAGCAGTTCAGTTGTTTGAGCGTGGTGGGTGGGGCTGGGTTTCACCGGAAAAAGGAAGGAGTTGGGATTCCGCCGATGCAAGTTTGGGTGAAATTGGATTTTATTTTATTTTTTTCAAAACAAAAGATTGAGGTATGGATAGTTTTGTACTTTTGGTCAATTTTAGATAATTTTTATATCAAATTTCTGTTATTTTTAACGGTGTCAACTAACGGAGAAGCTAATTGAAAAATATTATAACATTAAGGGGCAAATTGTCAAATTTAAAATCTGAGAGAGTCGATTGCAACATAAACCAAACTTAGAGGGGGTATTTTATAATTAATCCTTTTTTTTTATACCTACCTCTTATGTTTCTTCCATATTGTCACTGGCATTGCTTTTCAATACATGCTTTGGGATTTTTTATTTAGATGTTATAAATTGTTTAAGAAAATTAATAAATTATTAGTATTTTTAATGTTTTTATTTAATCTACTATTACATAAAATATGTTATTTTTATAATTATTCTTACTTTTTAGCAAATCATTCTTATTAGTTATTGTTTTTATTTTTTGTTATATGACCAATCTAATTAGTTGATCCAACGGTCAAACCAGTTACTAATTGAGTCGGTCTCTTAACCGGTTTGATGTCCGATCCGATTCTAATAATTATGAATAAAACACATTCTAGAGATTGATTGCTTAAACCATACAAGCTTGAACCAAGGCACCCTTTTATTAGGGTTCCATTTAACTCTATCCTTTCTTGCTTGGTTAGGAACATATGTTGGCATTGAGCTAAATATTTCCCTGATTTCAGCAGTTGTGACTCTAGGTCAATGCTATTGGTTGTTGTTTATGATGCAACTCACTTTTACTTCCCAGGGTTTGTGATGACCTTGGGATCCCAATTCATGGTGAGTAGGACAATGGGATGCCAATTATCATACCACAGACTAATAATCTCTCCATTCCCAATCAAATGGGTAAGGTGTGGTCGCCCTATAACTTCAAATAATATTATCCTGGTTCCAACTAAACTTTACAATTATTAATCACTACATCCTATGTACGCAGTTTGGGGATTTGGGTGAATTTAAAATTCCTGCAGTTTCAGCATTCAATAGAAGAATGATCACTGGAATGGCGGCTAGACATACTGGGGGATCTGTTAGGCTGATATAATAGATTGTGTCCACCCAATTCTATGTATTAAAAGAATCATTTTCTTAGTGAAGAGTCATAAAAAAATAAATTTTCCCCTTTTTTAAATTTTTAAAATTTTGAATTATAATATTAGAAATGAACAAATTATGTTCTACCACTTGTCTAAACTAACCATCCTCAACTTATGCTAAGTAACTATTATTAATTTAAAATTTTATAAAATTACTTCTATTACTCTATAATTTTTCATAATTATTTTATCTCAAGTAGTTGGGTGAGAGTGAGAGAGACATAAACCCATCTGTGTTGTGGACCGGGCCCAAACTTACACCCCGTGAATGAGCCCATGTTTCTAATGTTTAGAGTCCTCCCATTTGCTAGTGTGCCCTCTACAGCACGCCTAAAACCATTTATAAATAGGAAATTAACGGGTTCAGTACTGTTTATTAGAAATATTAGGCAAAAAGTACCACAATTGAAAAGATCAATAAAAAAGTATACATGTTATACTCAAAGTCTAAAATGCCATTTTTTTTGTAGAAATTGAACAGTTTCCTAAACAAGTGAGGACACCACCAGAAGGAAGGAAAGAGATAGCAGTTATGCATAGTTTCACCATTATCGCCGCACTGTGTGAACTTCAAACGGGGATGACAAAACTTCTCCAAAACCACCGTTCTTTGAAAATTGTCATTTAGAAATCAATTTTTTAGGGTTTCATAGTGAAAAAGTCATTAAACTGATAATACCACACAAAGCATCAATCATTGAAGAACCAAAGGTGCATTTTGATGAAGAACGATGGTTGAGATCATTGAAATTTTTAGAAAAGAAGTTGATAACTTAAGAAAAACATTGTTTCTCCCAATATTTTTATTTTATCTACTTTTTTTTTCTCAACTACATTTCTGCTTCTAGTGTTTGGTACTACATGCACACTAAATATTCGATTATTTGCAAAAAAAATAAAAAATCAAAGAGATCATATACAACTGCATTCTCACAACAAACCTTGCTTGCCATCACCGCCCTCAAAAACCTTCCAACCCCACATACACTATTTGATCGAGACCACAACCAACATCATCACCTCCTCACAACTTTAATTTCACCCACAAACACAATTCGTTCTCTTTTGTTTGTTTGTGATACTATGTAATATTATTTACATTAAATTTAGTTATTCGTAATGTGTGTGGCATACAATTTTTTTGTGTATTGTCCACTATGATATTTCATTGTGTCATGCGCATGTCAATGTATGCAGTGTGACATTGACTTATAATAGTGTGACATTGATTTGTAACAATGTGAATTTAGTTTGTAGTAGTATGACATTGATTGGTATCAATATGACATAGGCTGATATTAGTGTGACATTGACTTGTATCAGTGTGATATTATCTTGTAACACTGTGATATTGTCGTATACCATTGTGTCAATTCACTTATAAACTGCCGCATGGAAAAATAAAACATAAAACAAAGCACCAGTTCACTATTTCACAATTTCATTCCACAACACTAAAACTAGGAAGTCCAAAAAAAAATCTTAGCACTTACTTTGCTTGCCTATTTGAAAGTTAACAAATTAAACCCGGATAACATCTAAAGTTTTATGGCAAAAGGTAGAAATTCAAAACAAATTTGGGAACCATCGAAAATACCGAATAAGCGGTGGATTGTTATTATGTTGTCACTTGGCAATTTGTACTTTTGCACAATCAACAAGATACTAAAGGTAAAACATTCAAGAGCTATGAATGTCAGCAAAGTTGTTTGATATGTAAATAAATTGTATCGGCTAATGACTTAGTCAAGGTGTATAGAGAGAGAGAGAGAAGGGGGGGGGGGGGAGTTTCATGTGTCAGATAGAACTTTTTTATAGCCTAAAATTCAAAAAATCACATTATGTAGCCAAGAGAGCCTAGACGCCAACAAACTTTTGTTAATTGGACCTACTTTAGCAACAGTTTCTGTAACTACAAAAGAATGCAAAGATATTTCATTGTAATTAAATGTTATTAGACTGCTTTGATCTTATTGATATCAAACAACAATTAAATCATGCTCACAAGAATGGATGAAATATGAATCTGGGTGTATAAGAAAAATGAATCACTAAAACTGATGATTGTTAAAACTTATTTGCTTTGTCATGGAAACTAGATGGCACATATCTTCACACACAGATACACGCTTTTACGAATTTTAGAATATCACAAAGGTATTCATGTACAACTCTGCAGAATTTTTGAACAATAATCCTTGTGTTAGTCAAATTTAGTTTCCTTGTACTTTATGAAAGGAAAAAAAATAGTTTTCCAATATGCATACCAAATCAATCAAACAAGAAGAAGTTTTGTTAATTCAAATGGCATCGCTGGTTACACCGCGTATGGACACAGGATTTCCAAGAGAGAAACGAGGAGTTTTTTTACCTTGTCTGTCAATAGTTTGTGAAGAAACATATAAACACAACAGTGAGGAGTGAACTTGCAGATGCAATGAATCGCCTCTCCTTCTTGAACATCTTGACAGGCTTGTGGTCAGCAATTGTGGGCCAACATAGTCTAGATTGCATAATCAAAAGTTATGTATACAATAAGTTATTTTAGTTAATCAGAAGTTATTAACTTTTGTTGATATCTTATAGTAACATAGATTATGCATAAGTAGAGGGTGAAAGTGCAACCCACCATAAGAGGAGGCCCAGGTAGGAGCTCTTAGCTCTATACGATACACACCAAACACAGTGATATCACACACTCTTGTTTTAATTATTAGAAATGTACAAATATAGACTTAAGTATTTGAGGATCTCCCTGGATCAAAACCGGGGGCCTCTAACTTTTTGTCGCTTTTTCAGGTCAAGGATGGGTCTCTTACTTCGGAGATAGACTTAACTCTGCCAACTTCGAATTCAAGAAGAAAATTGATATAGTTGTGTTTAACATATTCGCATGGATAATGGATCAACCTTAGATGTAGAGGTAAAATAACCTTATCCCTCTTTCTCCTCTTCGATTCCTTAGTGTGAAGGAAATTGTTTAAGGATAAAAACGTGTTTAAGGATTAAAAATCCAAGGTTTGGTCGTCAATTGTACACGAAATTTTCTTTATTGTCTTTCCAGTACACTTTTCGTAATGAAAATGTATGGACAAAATTGGTCCAAAAAACCAAAAAACAACACAACTAATCTCAACCAAGTCTTGAAGGTTGGGTGATGACTTTAATACCAATCCAAATGTACGATATGGTAAGTTTTTCCTTGGTTTTTTTCAACAATAGACCACATGCTACATTTTGTTGAGGTTTGACTATCACATCGAGTTAAAAGAGTCTATGTTATATTTCAACATGACTGGCGAAGCAGACAAACGACCTTGCATTTTTTTTTTTTTTATTTTGTATAAAAGAATCTTATTTCCTATTTAATTTACCAATTCTTCAAAAGATACTGAACTTTTGTATTTGAAAAATATTTTTGAAGAGATTTCTTAAGTAGATGATGTCTTGTAAAAAACCACTCAATCAATGCATGATTTGTTTGTTAAACGAATGCAAATTATAAAATTACCTGACATAACATTTGTCACCTACTAAATAATCGAGACATTTAGGTTGATTTGAGTTCTCACCGAAAATCTTTTAAGCAGCCACTATTATACATGTTTAACCTGTTTGTCATAAAAATTTCTCTCTAAATTTCCTATAAAGAGTGTCCCCCTTTACGGGTTATATACAATTTCTTGAATTATTTTGATTCGTGGGAGATTTTGTAATATTCTTTCTTGTCTAAAAATACAACAAATAATTAGGGGTGTCGAAATATGACACGAACACGATATGAATTAGAGGATTTGAGTTTTTCCTAAGTCATCAATTTCATGAACAAGTAAACCTGATTCAACACGATTATTAAAAGAATCGA